TTTTTTTTTTTTAAATTTGGAAATAATTGCTTGTCAAATTGACTTTTTATTTTCAGAGTCAATTTTATAATATAATCTGAATATAAAGTATAAATTACTTTTACTGTTGATGTCTCCAATTTTTTTTCTTTGGAAAAAGGGTACTGCGTCAACTTAAATTTCTTTTGGTTTTTTTATTCAAATAAATGTCGGAGTACGTTAGATTCTTTGACCAGCCTTTTCCCTTCATCATTTGACTCAACAAGTTGTTCTCTTTCAAAGCCAATTGCCAGAAGTTTCTTTCCATACTGGACTTATTGTCAGTTATTGTAAGTTGGTGCAGCAATTTTCTCTGTCATAGGGTTCCTTTTGTGAATAGAGGAATAAATACCTTTATACCGACAATTTAATAAAAAAAAGCCAAAAAAAAAAAAAAAAAAAAAGGTATATTTTTAAAAAAAATTTTTCTTCTTGTATGCATTTTTTCTCGTAGTTTAAATTGTTGAAATGTCAACAATTCCATGACCTGTTTAATCGAAGAAAAACAATCTTTCTAAAAATGAGCTGAATTTTAACTCATCTTGGTATTTTAAAAAAAAGTTAAAATCGCCGCATTTAAAAATACATCGCCTCTATCAACAACAGTAGCATGTCCAATCCTTGATTCTGCAACAAAGTCAGATGGCCGCAAAAGCCTAGGGGTTAATGTAATGGACTCGTGACAAGAGTTTCATGAGTTCGAGTCTCGTGCCGCTGAAGATGCACGTTAAATCTACCGTGGCTCACTTCGTTCTCTTCACTTCGGTTCAAAATGTCGAGGTCCATCGCCCAAAGCCCCTGTGTAGTGCGACGATAATATTCACTCGCAACAAAATCAGAAAATTTTCCGATTTCGTAAAAAATTAACTTTATCTCACAGTGAACAAAGAAAAATTCTACCATTGGAATAAGAGACCGAAGACAGAGATAAAATCTGATTCAGATAGTATAACACAATTAATATTAAAGTATCAACAAAATCATTCTCTTTTTATATTTTCAATATTATCGTCACTATTTTGAATGTTATAGTTTTTTTCCCCACTCGATCTCTCACATAGAGGACTTATAACATGTTGATTTAATTATTGTCACTGTTATTATCTTAAATAACATTTTGTTAATTTTATCATTACTTTCATTTACGAAACTAACGGCATCATCTGTTCGACTTACAAGTTTTGACATTACCAGTATTGCAATTTTATCATTCCCCAAACTACATAATTCGAACAATATCACTACATTACTATTAGAGTCACCAACATTAGGGTTGAGTTTCCACGTATTTCTTCTTTTAAAGACAGGAATACACTTAAACTCTTCGGAAGGATCTCTTTCCTTCACTAAGCTTTAACAAACAAGATCGTAAATTTGGAACATTTATACACAAGCTCATTCGACATCACCAGAAAGGTTATAATCACTTTTTGTGAACTGATAGATATATTGTCAAGCTGCTTTGAAACTACTGTGATATTTGCGAAAATGTTTATTTCTTATATTGTATGGCTCTACATCTTCTGAAATCTAATAGGGCATCCTTGTATATCATTTCAGGATACATGGGATTTTTTTTTCGAGTGTGACGCATTCATCATGATTTGTACGTATTGTTATTTTTTAAAATATTAAGTTGCAATGCATGAAGAGTTCCTTGTTCTGCTTTATTTTTTTTATTTACTCCATATAGCTTGTAAACATTTTTCCTCCTTCATGTACGCTAATATACAAAACTTAAGCACATTTTTATTCGATTTTTCTGTAAAAATCAGCCGTGAAACTTTGAATTCATACTACAGAGCCCTATTTCGTATTTCATGTAAGCGTTAGTTAAGGATAGTAACAAAGAAAGGAATAGGACAGTGGGCAAACAAAAGTCTTTTTCGACAAATTGGCATTGGCTGTTGTTGTTTCTTATCCCAAATGGTGTAGCCCAGCTACACAATCTCCTTAAAACCAAAAATTGCCCCAAAACTCAAAAATAAAATAGGATTTTCTAAAACTTCCGCGACGGGCAATGCAGTATTAAATCTCGAATTCGGCTTTGGTTTCATAGTAATAAGAAATGAGCCGCTTCAATTGATCCAAGGACCTCGGGCACCAAAGGGATAAGAGTGTCTTAGCCCCTAGTGTCTGCTAACTTTAACTGGGCATAATGGAATGGCCACATCTAGGATGACCCTACCAAAAGTATATACTCCCAATGCTCATAGCTCATTCCGTCCAGGTACACTCTCCCGCCACTTTGAGGCAGCTAGCAGATCTTGAGAGGGATGGCATTGGAACATCTAACACAAACAGTTAAACCAAGTTCCTTATTGTCCTCCTTCCACTGCCATGGTTGCGTCTGTTCATAATCAGCACTAGATTACCTCAAGATAAGCGTTCCCTAATGAACATTTGTGTCTGACACATCTTCAAGGGGAGAGAAGCAAAAGTTGACGTTCTGCGCATTTCATTTTCTAGAAGTTCCCCAACAGCATGGGACCTTATGCGTTGCCCTTCATAAAAGCACATTTTGGACCAATTGCAGCTTGGTTCAGAAGCATATAGAAGAGGGTCCTCCGTAACAATCTCCAGGAAGTGTAACTTTCGAAAATGTGCTTCTGCTTATGTGTGATGTCTACCTACACGCGCGATCACGTGTAATTTCATCCTGATGGTTTCGCGTGCGATTTCACTTTGACATGCAGCGAATCTACCAGTCCTTTTTTCGAACTGCACGCGCTGATTCTACGCGACTAGCGTGTTCTCATACTCCGGATATTTATGCTTGTATCACCTCCCACTGAATATTAGGAGGTAGTACATTATTTCTCCTCCTACTGGAGCAGTGTTTGGATGTACTGATCTCAACTTTTGTACAATTTCATGGCTGTATGTCGAAAATACGGAATGCTTTGTTGCTTTTGCGCACTAGGGCATTGACATATAAAAAGCGAGTTTAAGAAACAGAATTAAAATAAACTGATTCTTTATGATGAGGAGGTGATTTCCTGATTTCTATATAATAGTTA